CAGGAGTGCAGCCCTCTCTATTAATAACACTATATGTGTTTCATAAAGTCAGAGGGTTCACGGTCACCTGTAAGTGGAGCTTCAGACCCTTTAATTAATACTTAACACTCTGGACTGCATGTCTAATTAGTCAGTCATTAACAAAGCTGACGAGAGGTCTGAAATGAAAAGTGCTGCAGTCAGAACGCAAATAGTTAACATGAACACTAAAATACATTAAAGGGAAATTATCTTGGAAAAATAAATTTTCCTTACTGTTTGTTGTAAATGTCACTGTTAAAGTTTTAAAATGAACCATTCACTTCCTCGTCCATACAGTCCATATGTGAAAATTAAGCATTAAAAACAGCCTGTTTTGAATTCACTGTTTTTACAATGTCACAGAAAAAATAATTTACATATAAACTGTCTGTTAAGCCTATAGCAGTTTAGCCCCACCCACTTCTGCTGAAGTTATAAGGAGTGTTCAAGCCCTGACAGCTTTATGAATGAGGCACAATACAGGGCAGCCAATCAGAGCAGAGGTCATTTACATATTTCAGTCTTAAAAGTGCAGTAACAATAACAGCCAGTTTTATTCTATGGCTAAAGAGAGGTTGTAAAATGGTAATGTAAAATGAATTACAAGAGTTTTGGATATATAAAACTCCTCAATCATTATATGTGGACCTCATGTGAAAAAGATCAGTTAAAAAGGGCTCTTTAACAGCTTGCATCATGGAAAGCAAACAATGAATTTAATTTAATGTGTAATCTGCTGCTGTGAAACCCGCTGAAATGCCCTAACTGACTGCTGACAGCAGAGGTGAAAATTTCGCTAGAATTATTGCTGCCATTCTTAGTTTGGCTAAGCCTTGTTATTCCTTTGATAGAGGAGATTAGACCAAAACATTCCTGTGGCAGCTGTCTGCTGCATTGTCTTACAAGACTGTGACAATTTACATTTAGAACCATTAGATCTCTTATCATTGTGGGTTTCAATGGAGAGAAGATATAGATCAAAAAAAGACCTTTTCAGTGGTGGCAGGAAAAATGTGAATTTACCTTGTTTCTATATGGAAAGTAAACACATCACAATACATTCTTATTGCAAAACTGGCTTCTTTCATTGTTGCAACAGAAGATATGAAAAAAATTAACACCTTTAACTGGACACCTTTGTTGCCTGCTAGTTTGAATGTACGCTAACAGCTAGCTGACAAGCCAGCTGTTTTAAGTTCTGAAGAAACGAGTGAAAGAGATAGAAATAACATTATTGACAGCTCTTTATATTCTTTGTTTTTATATTTCTCTCCAGTATTTGGAAACAGCAACACCAGTATTTGTTGTTTACAGTATAAATAATGCCACTGGAAAGGTTTTGTAGTGTTGATCATAACACTATGATCAACACTATTTACATTCCTTAATTCCTCAACCTGTAGATGGAAATTAAGAGGTGGCTCTTGAAAAACATTCCGGCTAGAAAAAAAAATTATTGATCTTTTATTATTTCCTTCAGTTCTTGTAAATCTGAGATTAATAAAAATAATGTATTACTAAACACAGGTGAGGAGAGGGAGAGAAAGAAGCTAAAGGAAACTGACAGGACTTAAGGCGTAGATCTGGTGGAAGTGAGTGATCAAGAAGAAAGCGAGAGAGAGACATAATTAGGCTTTCAATTAAAATTAATACTCAATTTACCTGCACTTAACTGAAAAAATACAATATTTGTCACTCTGACATGCTTACACAGCAAAACCAGTCTTTCTGATTGTACTGAGACTGAACTGATCTATAGTCTGTTTATTTGAATAATATATTTAGAACACTGCAGCTCATCTTAGAGAGAGGAGAGAGCATTGCTTGACTTCAGTACCTTTGCTTGATCTGTACCTGTTGTAAGTGGACAGACACAGGGTTTAAGTCACACTAGTTCTGTGCTTAATACAAACTACAGAGACAGCTCTCTTGTGTGCCAACTTCACCAAATATCCATTTTTTGTCTGTTGCTACTTTAAAAATTTACAATGAACAGGCATTTTGGGGCCATTAAAAAAATCTCCTGGGGAACATGCCCCCAGACTCCCCTAATACATGCTCAGCCCCCTTATCCATAAACCTTTGCTGATGCCCATGAGCAGTAAAATGTTACTACAAATTGGTTTCCACTGCAGTTAAGTTCTCAGGTGGAGGAAGCAAAAGCAAAAGCAGTAAATACAGACATTAGCAATTTTATCACAAATAATTGGTCAACTTGTAAGAATAGTAACAATTTGGAAGTTGGTGGGCACATCCTAAATAACACTGAAATTAGAGAGCCCACACAGAAAACCTGTCACTTTCCACAGCACATGCAGCAAAACAGCTGGCATTCACTTGTCTTTCAAACATGTGTGCTGTCTCTTTTTTGTGTATGTATAATGCCAAAGCCTTATGACATTTTAAGACAGTATCCTGGCACTAGCTTAATAACTACACTGTATGGTAGGGCAATTTATTTTCTCTTCTTATTCTCTCTCATATTCAACTCTTCAAGGTACAAGAGGACTACTGAGCCCTTGAAAAATCCCACAACTATAGTATACATGTAGCATAAATCCAGCATCTTACTGTTTGAAGAATTCCCAGTGTACAGATTTACATATTTTTATTTCATCAATGAATCATCACACATTTTTTTCTGGTGTCCCGTGGACAAAAGCGACAGACGTGCAAACAAATTAGCTTCAGGCTAATAACAAAGATATATTTAAACAGGAGAATGAAAACAACAGTTAGACAAGGCACAACTCATCAATCATTTGGCCAGAGAAGGTGATGTATGAAGTATGTTTATGATTAACCAGGTTTCGAACAATAGATGTATTTCCTTTCTGCTCATGATGAGGGCTGAAGGTGAAGTGTCCTGCTGTGCACTGCTTCCCTCTCCAAAGCTTTTTTGAGTTGCATACACAGAAAAGTCCCCAGTGCTGAGTAGAGCTCAGTATTGAAATCCAATACTGTTATGGTACTGACCAAATTACTTCAATACAGAGTACTGAAATGTCCATTTTCATGTAATACCAAATTCAATACCTAAGTCTTATCAGCACTAGTGGGCCAATGAGTATGTTGGGCCTAAATTTTTGAGTGGTGCTCGACTGTCTAACTTCTGGAATTCTGTGCTCTTTTGATTACATTCCATGTTCAATTTATTCCGTGTAAGTTCCAGCACCTCACACTCAATCCTGAAGTCACAGCCGCTTTTGGTTTGGAATTCAAATCAACGGATCAAAATGTATCATCCAGATATCAATATCAAAGTCAAGATACAGGTAATGATACTGAGACCAAAAAAGATATTCACCCCTAATGCTGAACCAGACGCTCATTCTTGTCCACACTCCTACATGGTTCTTGAAAATAATGGTTCAAAGAAAACCATCAACAGGCCACTCTTGAAAAAAGATTTTCTTCAAGGGTTCTTTAGTAAAGAAAATGGTTCTATATAGAACCATTAACACTCAAAGAACGCTTTGCATGATTGAAAGTTTCTTTACATCATGAAATGGTTCTTCAGATTGATGGAGAATGTGCTCTAGATGATTCAGTATTGCACCTTTTTAAAAAAGGGTTCTAAAAGGGTTCTATACAGCACAAAAATCTATTACGGTTACAATGTAACATGTACATGTACTTTGTAAAAATAGAAGAACCCAAAAGGTGCTATATAGAAGCATCTGCAGCACATTCTCCATCAATCGGAAGAACACTTTCACGATGCTAAGAACCTTTTAATCATGCAAAAGGTTCTTTGAGTGTTTATGTTTCTATATCTAACCATTTTCTTTACTAAAGACCCCTTGAAAAAACATCTTTTTAAGTGTGTAGAACAAAACAAACAAACCTGATCTTAATATTTCATCTTAAAAAGGTTCATAAAACTCACAAACCTCATTTGCAAAAATTCTTCTTTAAAGAACCACCCACTGAAAGGTACTTTAAGGAACCAACAGTGATTCTTCTACATCAAAGAACCCTTTTTCGGTACCTTCATTTTTAAGAGTGCAGCTGGATCTTCATGGACTGTAGGTGTAAATTCAGCACTGTTGGTGTCTATTCACTGGGAATTTTGCTGTTTACAGAACCGTGTGTCATGTTTATTTCCTAAAGGGATTTCAGAGGTTCCAGACTCATGTATCTCCTGTCTAACAAAGCTTTGCAGGCCAGAACACCAAGCAAAACAGAAACCACTGAGTTGTGAAGAGGCTGCTTTGAGTCCAAAGGAAAATGAGGTGCTGTTCCTCTGTTTGGTGCCAGCGGCATGCAAAAGAAACCATGAAGTGAGACAGAATGACCCTCGGTTATGATGGGACACGGTGACGCTGCTTTACAAAATTTCAAACATTATTTAGCTCTTTGTCTAAACAGGAGATAAGCTAAATCAGCATGTAGGTAAAGAGGTATTCTGGACCAATTAATTGTGGTCATTTGCTTGTACACCTGCCTATTACAGAGCATGACAAAGAACCACTCACATGTGGTCGCTGAAAATCAACAACATTCTTCTAAGCAGTATTCTGTTCTGAAATCATGCTATTAAATATATGAAAGCATAATTCATTCCTAAATTAGCCACTTTTCTGTGTGTCTGGAGTGCTGGCTGCCTCTGTATCCACCCTGCCAGCTACAGCATAAGAGAAGCCCATACAAACTTTCAGCTGTCATGGTATGAATATGATATTTCGTACTGCTGAGTTTATAACACATTATAGCTGCTTATAACTACCAGTGACCTTGAACTTAATATTACTGTAATAATAAAAAGAGCTAAGCTCGCAAAGGCGCACGTGCACCGTCCAGACAGCAAGAGAGAACTGAGAGAAGCTAGTTTTAGCTAAAGTTAATGTAAAAACAGTTCAGTGAAAGCGAGCAACGAGGAGTGAAAAGCTCATTAATCTCGAGGACAACTGATCACAGAGAACAAGACAGAACCCTCGACAAATCCCATAGACATTAGCATAAATCCAGCATCTTACCGAGTGGAGGATCCCCCCCCTGTCTTTACAGGGGTATACAGAAGGTGGGCTGTAAAATGAAATGTAATCTCCTCTGCTCGCGCCTTAGGTCCTCTTATCTTAAGCAGAACTCAGCTCCGGTCAGGTCTTGAAATATTCACAGATTTGAATAGGAAAGAGCTGTATAATCATTTAAAAGTAACCCACAGCAGAGCAGAGAAAAAGAGACGTCCTGCCAGCCGCTCAGCACAAACTCCCTCTGAGAGAGAGAGAGAGAGAGAGAGAGAGAGAGAGAGAGAGAGAGAGAGAGAGAGAGAGAGAGAGAGAGAGAGAGAGAGAGAGGGGGGGGTGCAGCAGCGCTAACATTCTCACGCGCGACTGGGTCACCTGGAAAACGACTGTAATGGACGAGTGAGTGACTGTTCTTGTGCCTTAAGGGTACAGAACATAAATCGCCCCTGTGTAGATAATCTGTTTTATAACGTATCGTCTTTCTTGTCTCCTTCATTTTATTGACATTTCTCTATATCAGTTTATTTTATTGTTCATTTTACCTTTTTTAAGTTTATTTATTTATTTGTTTTTTTTTCCTCTCTCGCCCCCTGGCTGCATATTAATTATGCAAAGATTTAATAAAAAGAAATAAATATCGTGTTAAAAATGTATGAAGCTCTGATCATACACTGCACAATTTGATTTAACTCAAAAATATATACACATATATATGTATGTGTTTAAAATAAAGATTAAAAGTGGCATATTTGTGCTGAATGATGATCTTTTTTATTACGAGCTATACACAATACAGAAATATAGATGTGCCCAGATGCCTAGATTTGATCACTCACAGTGGGCTCCTAGACAGCAAATGAGAGACCCCCCCAGAAGAGACCGAGGGGCATATCAGAGATACATTTTTGCAGTGTACTGTTTCAAACATTCATACTGCACGGACATCACTACAGTCTTAGCACTTACTGAGGGAACAGGTTTACTGCACAGATTGTTTATTTTTATTTATTTTGTTTTGATTGAAGTAGCAAATCATATACAGTGATGTTGTTGAATATCAACAAATAAACCTGTTTAACAAACCTGAATGGCCAACATGATTAATTAATATGAATTAATTAATACTAATATAAATCAATCTCTTAATTCTTTTGTTCTTGGTGGTTAATTTGAGGAATTTGTATCTTACGTGAGACTATTAACATTACTTACTTAAGTCTTATTATGAACTATTTCATTGTTTATTAATGTTAAATATTCCAGATGTAGTAATTGCAACTAACATTTAATGTCGGTACTATTTAAATAAAAAACTTTTCATGTAGGTCTTCGCTACTTTATATCACCAATGTATTATTAAGTTCATGGTCTGTTGATGCAGGAAATAGTGTTAGGGTGTGGTTATTTCTGATGACTAATGGGTAAGCAAGTGACTGAAACAGAACGACCTGGCCACGTCATGAACAAAAAGAGAAGAAGAAGAAGACACTCTAAACCTCAAAGCTTTACCATTTCTTTTGAAGATAAAGGCATTGGTAATGGCAACCTTTTAGCTATGATTGTATGTATGTTTATTGAAAATCAGAAGGCTCAGCTGTGGTCCAGGGACCCTGCCAGTGCTTCTGTAATCACCTGAGTTAGTGCACTGGAACTTTATCACCACTCCTCTTTGTTCAACAGCCTTTGTTGATGTTGCAGTGTTTAACATTGGAACTATGCACAACTGGCCATAAAGAAACATGCCTTTTTTGCCTATCCCATCTACAATAATGCTTTCACTCTATATCAGCATACTGACATGCTTACTGTTTCAAGGGGTGCCTCAGTGTTTACTGTTGATCCAGGACCAGCTCTTCCAAGCCTGCACGTGATGTTAAGATACATGACTACAATTTTAACCCTGACCAGCACCTGTATTAGTGTTCGCCTACACTCAAAATATGAAACTGCTCTTTTGTTTGTTTTAACCCCTTAAAATCCCAGGCTTATTACATACTAAGCCTTATTATTCAGTAACTACACAGCCTTCAGTGTAAACTGACTGAGCTGTTCTTAATAGAAGAGGTAATAGAAGTGTTTAATAAAATGCCAAATAGATTTAAGTCAGTTGTTTCAATGAAATTGAGTTGTCACATTAACATCACAAGTGTTTTTGGTCAATGTAATATTTTCCATTGTCTCCTGGCATCATCTATTTTGTTTTACTTGGTTTACTCACCCCCTTCATGTCGTTGTTTTTGCCCTGGAATGCCTTCCACTGGGTTTCTTTTATATTCTTTTATACTCCACATCTAACTGCCTAGCATTGTTGTTGGTTGTAAGTGCAAGTTACCATGTAGCTGAATGTAATTCTATGACAGCTCAGTCATAACTTTTTTAATATAATTAACTTTATGTTCTTTTTCTATGTTAATTAGTAGAACATAACTATATTAAGTTGAATGTTGGAGTTATACAGAAAAATTAGCAGTCCAGTGCATTACAACTCACTTGTGTGAGATTAACTTGAATTGGCTGAGAACTTATTACTCAGTTGAGCATCTAAAAGCTACTTAAGACGATTGTGTGGAACCACTTGACCTGACATTTTTAAGTAAATACAACATTTCACTTTTGGGTAAAACATTAAAATAATCAATCCTGTTCATTAGAATTTACTCAAATCACTTTACTTGAATTTGTTAATTGCATATTACTCAATCAAGCATCTTCTACTTAACACAGTTGTGTGAAACCACTTGACATAACATTTTTGACAAAATCCAACATTTCACCTTTTTGAATGTACCTAATGGAGAAGGAAAGTGGTGTAAAGGCATTCACCAAACCCGAGGTCCCGTTCTACCACTTTGCTATATATAATAAAAACACACTGTATTGTGGCTTAGATCTCCTTTGTGTCTACTTTATTCACTACATCTAACCTTAACAAATGATCCAATAGACTCTGGAAAAGCCAGTTACAATGAGTACCTTGCCTGCTTTGTTGCTTCACTCTATACAGATTTTTTAGATTTTTACTCATAACAGAATAAGAACAGCAAAGCATAAGAAATCATATCACTTTTCATTTTTTTCTGTAATCACTCTTATTAAAAAGTTATGGAACCATAATGAATATGAGTATCACAAAGGGTTGAAGCCATTTTAGTCTTTCCTGCCTTTAACACGGAAGTGACAAACATAAATAGGAATAGAATCCGGACTATATTTAGTCAGTAAACTTAACATAAACTCATATTCAAAAATTTTAAATACCCCTAGTCAATTGATTTCTTTTATTGATTTTATAACTGATAAATAACTTGCATTTCATAAAAAATGTACATTTTTCTGCAAATTGTTTATTTATGTTTATTTATGTTTAACAAATTGGAAAAACATAAAACATAAATTGTGCCAGTTACTTTTGCACAGGCCAGATTTTATGTTTTAATATTTTTTCCAGTATGTTAAATTCAGCAAATAAACAGTAATTGTGTGTTAAAATGTGCAGAAGTGTGTTCTCTGTAGAGGATTTGTTCACTTATTTGCACTTAGAATATCAACAAAATATGTAATTGGATCAGGGCTTTATCAAGTCATTTGGAGTACACACCTTCTCACATGTCAAAACAGAGCTGTGCAGCTCCCGACTACAATATGTTGGCTTGTTTTGAAGATTATTTCCCCTGAAGGTTTCCTTCTAATGAATTCTTCAGTGCCACATCTACAGGCTAAAAATGGAACTCATTTTCAATCTGCTCTTATCCAGGCTGCTGTTACATGCAATTTCGACAGTGAAATGTTGTTTCTGTTGCCATTACATCGCAATATACATTCTCTTTGCCAGGGCTTGTGACTGAAAAAATGGATGCGCAGTTTTCCCCAGGTTCACACTTTCAGAGAGAACGAGCACAATTACATGGGTGAGTCAAAACTGACCCTTTGACCTTTTAGTAAATTAGAAATAGGGCTTCATAGACCAGGCAGTGCTTAAGGGCCCCACCTTACCAGGCAGGGGTGTAGCACAGTGTGAGTCATAGCCAAACATAGCGTGACTTACAGTGCTCCCCAGGGGAAATGAACACAGGATCTAAAAGATTTTTGCTTTGATGTTCCTTATTCTTTCTGGGGGGTCTTGGATCGTCTGAACGTCTCAAAATCATTTTTGGGGGGGAGGGGTCAGTGAAAATAAATTTCGAATCACTTCATACAGTCTATTAGAGCAAAATAGATGTTCAAATGCAAATTCAGCGAGACTCTGTCTTCGATATTGTTAATTAACTAGTGATGTAGCACTGGTCTGCTTCAGGGTGGTGCTGTTGCTAATTGGTTCATCTAATTGGTCCTTGACAGCCTAGCAACTGTAACTATGCCTGTGATACCTCTGAAAAAATTTACATTATGCCACAGCACACTGTATATCTGAAAACTTGCCCAATTTCCCAAGAGTTCAAACTAGAAAAGAGCATTTCCAGAGGAAAAACTGTTAAACCAAACATTTTACTGAAGCTAGCATTAACGCCTCAGTGGAAAGTGAGTTAGTAGCCAGCCAACATGAGACACCCCGAACACCAGGAGGTATTGTGATTTAAAGGACATGCTGGCCAAAATTAAAAATGTAACCATCGCTACATCTGTTGTAAACATACTTACTGGCATCCTATAGCAGCATCGGAGTTGTCTCTACTATGTAGTCTCTACTCTATGACACCAATGATGTATTCCTGAAAAACGTAAAAAGAATATAAATCTGTGAATTCTGTTAAATCAATGAGGCTGAGGCCGAAGTGCCCCTTCCTTTAAACTTGAATAGATAACCTCATCATATATATAACTGATGGTATGCGAATGCTATAAATGAAGGTTAGGGTTAGTTCAGGGTTACTGCTCTCATCAGAGTGGCAGCCATTTATATTATAGTACTGTATGTATTCCTATGCAGCAGCTAAAAGCTCTGCACAAATGTCTAGATTAATCTGCTGTTGCTGTTAATGTGCCAGATGAAGAATCGATGTCATGGACATGCAGACAGAAACATAATTTCATGAGCATCATTTTTCTTTGCATAAAGAGGAATATGTCATGATAGAGGAAAATAAACTTGACGCCCTATTCTTCCTCTGTCCAGAGCCATGGTCAGGGCAAGGTAACATGAACAGACAAGGGCAAGAGATTTGCAAGAGACATGGGCAGATGGGTGAAAGAGGGACAGAGAGATAGAGACAGAGAGAAAAATAGACACAGGGGGACAGCAGATT